TCGAAATAAAAACAAAACAATGTGTATCATATTACCTACGTCGTCGATAACTCTGACTAAAATATATGATATTATAACGTAGGTATATGCAGTACATATTTTTATTTGAGTGCCTATAGAACCTATATAGATGACATTAGAACACACACAGTCGGAAAATATATTTTTACGGGCCAGCATAATACCGGTTTTATTTTACAACAACAAAATCGAATTGAAAAATATTTTGACAAAACAGTAATCTACCGTTACGAAACGTATATCGATAGTATATAATCTAATAAAACGTGTGATACCGTATAATATAATGTATTCTTCATACGCAATTTACTTGCGATATGTTTTATTCGCAGAAAATATATAGTGAACCGAGCGCGTTCGTATGTTTCGTTTCCGCCGACGGAAATATAATAAAAAATAAAAACATAATAATATAATATCTGCACAATATGTATCGTATGATAATAATAATATAATAATATTATAATGTACACATCCCACATTGATACACGTGTATCGTATTGTACCTACGCTACGTTCGCTCGGTATCGCGTCGTCGTATTATAGACTTGTGCGATAAAAATTATATTAAAAAGAGACGAAAGTAAAAAGAAAAAACGGACGAGATCAAATGGATATATCCGGACTCGCGAGCGGTGACACCCTGCACCGTCTAGTACGTGTTTTTGAAGAGACAGACAATTTTTTTCCCCAAACCGTTTCCATGGGCGGGGGCCAATTCATAATCATACGCGTACGCTGTACAATTTTATAATATTATTATTATTATTATTATTATATATTTATATCGCCGAGGAGTCGAAAATAATGAAATCCGCCCGCCGTTCCCATACATCCGCAGTGCATGATCGTATATAATATTATAGGTACCTAGGTATATATAATAGGAATCGCGCCAAATCGTATCGAAAAATAAGCCGACGACGTCCGGCCGTGTTCGCCTATTCGTTATAATAATATTATACGCATGTCCCGATATATATATAATATATCATAATAAAAAAGTATTGTATAGCTGTGCAGGAGAAATCATTTATTGCCATAGCTCTCGTCGGTCGTCCAATCGTCGCTCCGATATAATAATATGTACCCATACGGACACGTCGTGTCATAAAAAACATATACCACGTATATATAAATAATACGACGTTTTGTTTATATATATATATATATATATATATTAAATTGTGTTTGGAGCTTACACTTCGTTATTGTTTCGAGAACAATAACACAATATTATTATATGTTATATTGATCTGTCCGACTGTCCACCTTGTGCCTTGACCAATACCGTCTTATTGCACCAGTGATCAATGACCAAATTGTAGTTTTTGACTTGTTTTTACCACAGCAGTTACTATATATATATATTATATGTATACGTGTGTGTGTGTGTGTGTGTGTGTAGGTGTGTGTGTGTGTGTGTGTGTGTGTGTGTGTGTGTGTGTGTGTGTGCGATCTATAAAATCCCCAAATATGAACTTTAAACCAAGTTATACGATACCGTTATAATAGTGTACCACGAAAGTAACTTATTGTGGCTATCAACTAAATCGACTTAACCGAGAAACCGATTTAACAAAAGATGATTGTTCATTTGCGAAGTTATTGTAGAAAGAACTTCCAGTCCAAACATTATGTGTGGGGAACGATATTGGTATTGCTATGATTAAATGACATTTGGTATCGATGGAATTTATTCCAACATTTTCATCAGTAAAAAAAAATTTTAATTTCGACCAGTGATTATATCATATACAGGATTATTCAACAAGCATGATCGTCCTATTTTTTTCATTTAATAATTAGTTCACTGAAACCCTGATTTTTGAGTAAAAAAATCTCAGGAATTTGCAAATATTATGGTCATTGAATATATTCAAAAATGTCAAATATAGGAATTTGAATAATTTCATTATTAAATGAAAAAATGGTGGTGATCATCGCTACTGGGTGTGTTATATATTATAATATTATGTATTGCCCTAACCTAACACAGCTATGAAGTTGACAAGAATTGTGTACAACGAAAAACCGAAATTTTATTTGATTGCGTTAAAATATTTTATTCAATGAATGCAGTGGTCGGGAGGTTCATAAGTTTTTGCAAATTAAGCGAATCTAGTTCGAAGGGTTGCTTTTGAGGACCGTGAAAAAATGGTAATGGTATGATAAATATGCATACGCGTTGATTCAGATAAGAATATTTCATATTGAAAAAAAACTCAATTTATAATATTCTGTGTATCCTATTAGTTCTTACGTCATTCGATTTAAGTGAAACGCACCGAAATTCTAGCACACACAGTGATATTATTATATTGAATAATTCAGTAGAAACATTTCGAAATTATTACTACCCAAAATTTGTCACAATTTCACTTGCGTATAACACGAGAAAAGGATAAATTGCTTTCAATTGTCAGTGTTGTCAAGTTCCCAGTGTGAAAATGATATATTAATATTATACAATGTACAGGGTACCAAATATATTTTTTAGAATAATTGTTGTCTGAGCATGATCGTAATATAATATGGTAATTTGATAAATCAAATTAAAATGATTAACAAACTGTTTACGATCCATGGCAGACAACATAATATTCTAACCAAAATTATTGAAAGTATCGAAATTTTTACATCTAAAAATATGAAACATTCCTTAGCGGGTATTCAATAGCACTATACAATTGTATTGAAATTATGTTGTACATTCGAATAAATAAATACGTGAGAGAGCATCTTTTACAGTTTTGCTTTATACCAAAGTTTTAACAATATTGGAATGATACTATAGAGGTAAGGATGCATTGTCTTTTCAATGCACATTCAAGACAAATGCAACTTTTTAAAACACAAAACTATCCAGAAAATACACTTTTTAATATTATACACAAACGACAAAAAGATTGTAAAAAACAATTTTTCTTAGACAGAATTTTTCTTAAGAACCGTTGGAGCCGCCAATACGTTTATCATATTTTTATTGATATATTTTTTCTATTAATTTTAATGTCTTATGACCACGATTATTATATTTTGTCCTGCGTGGATATAAAGTATTTCTATTTATATTATCGTTATCTTATTTTTAATGGAACTTCAAACAAAATGTACATATTATTTTTTAGCACTCGTATAATATGATTAATTATTATTTTAACGCATGACATTGTACACTACATACACTGTCAAGTATGTAAAAAATATAACTTCTATACATCCTTCGCATTTTCCAATGATAGTACATATATGTATAGAAAAATCTTCGGGAAAAGTTTTGTTGGATAAATTATAAATATACTATAAATGAATATACTATCATACAATGTTGTTGGACGTGTACAAAATAATATTACGTACGGTGCAATTTATGTGATAATTTTTGCATTTGGCAACGCAATAATGCTGTTGATGAAAGTGATGAAACTACACAGTTTTCGTCCGTTCGACGATGGCCATGCATGCGTGATTTAGTGTGATAGAAATATTGCGACGGAATGTCACATTAAACATGAATATGCGTTCAACGAGAGACGCGTCCTTGTAGCGACTCGCGAGGCTTTTGCAAATAAGTCAGGTGTATCTATTTAAATTATATACATCTTTAATGTTTTACAAATTCGATTCAATTTATAAATTCACTCTCGACATTTGTCATAGCGTTTTAAAATTCCTGCGTTTCAGAATGTTATCCTACTCGGGACGCGTATTACATAATACAACTAACTGTAGTTATTACTGCAATAAACACACATTAACATTTTTCGAAATAACTCATAGTAGTAGTTTTTATATACATACAGTATAATGTAACACTGCGAAGAACCTAAAATAATACGGATTGCTATATTATATTATACGGAGGCGTCAAAAATGGATACTGCGTAATAGCGGTGCACACTAAAACATTTCAAAACATTTATCTCAGTTTGCAGACAAGTATTATTTTTTTTTTTTTCGGTCCCACTAATAACCTTCTACGCGGGGGTCTCCTTATCCTAATATAGTGATTGATGCCGTCGAAACCATTTTCGGTCGTTTTTTGAACTCAACTCATCTTTAACACCACAAATCAATCGTACATGGGCCGGGTGAGTAATTCCCATATATAATAACAACTCCCGTTTGAATTAATATAATATCCCTATATTTCAATATTCCTTCTTTCTTCGTAAAACGATCCTGAACTCTAAACTATTCCCGGCGATATCACTACTTTTAAACATCCAATAATTTATGGAAAAACGTCACTTCTTGTTATCAATTTACATTTTACAATTTGCATATCACTCTGCAATAATATTGAAAACCCCATCTCCTCAGCAGTGATACATTTTCTCGAAAACGTATACAAATTAACACATTTTTTTCAACTAAAACTAATTTATTTTATTTATCTTTACTTTATATGGAATGTATTTTCTTGTGCATTTGTAATATTCAAAAAACTTTAAAACAAACTTACATTTGTGTTTTACCTCTGAGTCTACTTAACTTCCGGTTTACATTTTCAACTTAACTTGAAATTTGTTATATTTACTAACTGTAGAGAAGAATGTAGAAATATATTATATTATAACGCTAAAATGAAAATAAAAGTTTTCTTATTAATTATTATTTAGAAACAAAAATTGCTTTCCTATAATATTATGTAAGATAATGTAGGTATAGTTTTGAAAATGTCTAATGTGATGTATGAATAATTCATGTGAATATTAAATTAAAAACTTGGATAGTCTTAATAATTTTCGATAACTATTTCAGTTAATATATTCCGTGATTCTCACCGTTTATTTTGTATCAAATATCAAAATATTATTTATACCAAACAATATTGCCATAGATAACTTTGATATAATACAACATCGAATATTCTAAGCGCTTATTTTTGTTGAATGTGTGGTGTTACATAATATTTCATTTAACTGTTTAACACCTTTAACATAATATTTATATATATATATAAAATCACTTACATGTCCAAATGTAAAACGATGAAATGATTAACAGGAAAAACCACATGTTTTTCAGTTAAATATGATCCTTTAAAATTGATTATCCTTTGAATAATTTGTGATTATCCTAAAAAAAAAAAAAATAAGACAATATTATTAATATTTATCAACTTTTCAACTTTGCATTAAGTATTTGTAATTTTCAATTAAATGATACGTTGAGTAAAAACCATGATTTAATTATATTTGTAAAAAAAAAATATGAAAAAAATGGGAATCTTCACACAAAACTAGTTTTCGACAAAAAAAGATTTTCTTATTTCGTTGTATTTCAACATGTTTCAATATGAATAACCATATATTATACTTGAAAATCTCACCAAATGTTTGTATTGAAATTCTCTATACATATGATGTCATTTTCAAAATATTTTGACCGTTCCATTTTATTCCTTCCCTGGTAATTATCCTATGGACAGTAAGTATCGATAATTTATGCATACAAAATAAACATTTGAAAATAATACATTTTTAACTGTCTTCAATTTCAGTTCAGAGATAATGGATAGTTGGAAAACGAACTATCATTATTCTAATTGTATAGGAGACTATAAATTGGTAGTTGGCTATAGGTTACACACACGATTGCATTATGAAAAAAATTCCTGTGAGCTACAACGATCAATTTTTTTACGATTATTATTTTACGAGCTAAAAATATTTTAAGAACAATCTAATATAACATAGCATATTATTTTTTATTTTATTTTATTTTTTATTGTTCTTAATTAACATTGCGACATTTTTATATTTAAGAACTTTAAATGTTGTGTGGTGGTGGTGTTCGCAGGGTAATTTGAGGCTGTCGAGTTTGTCTGGGTATTGGAGACATTATGTGAATTTATGGTTGGCTGAAAGTTCTGTTCGACAAGAATTGCACCTTGGTTTTGCTTCTTTTGCCATGAGGTATCTGTGTGTAAAACGGGTGTCACCACTCACCGATTCAGAGTCCGTTGATATTGTTGATAATATTACCTTTTCCATTCTGCTCAGTGGTAGGTTCGGGCCAGCCGAAAATAGTGTTTTTGGTTTTTCTTAATTTAGTGTTTTGATTGAACCAGTATGTCTGCAATATGATTTGGGAAATTTCTTTGATTTAGATTTTTGAATCTTTATAAGTTGTAATATAAAGTTTTGGAGTCTAATTTGTGGATTTTACTGTTTCCTAGGCTTCTTGATCTGCTTTTTCGTTCCCTTCAATGTTGCTATTTCCATGAATCCAGATTAGAGATACGTTGATTCCTCTGGTTCTTGATTCGCTTATTTTATATTGTATTAGCTTTGCCACAAAGTATTTCATCGGTGATTAAGTGCACAGTAATTATTCCTAAATGTCTTTATATTTTTTTAAATTGTGATTGAGAATTTTATTTTATTGTATTTTACAATGTAATTTAAAATATTTAAATTTCTGAGACAATTAAAGATAACCATTTCATAGAGTTAATTTTCTGAAAATGTTGACCTTTCAACATTTTATTTTTATTAACCTCATGATTTTTAATATTTTTTTAGTTTATAGGTAAAACAGCAAAAAACCTGTTTTTGTCCGGGTGGCGAGTTCCCCTCTACGGCTAATGGATATATCCTCACGGGACACCCTGTATAGTATTATTATAGACCCGAGGCTGACGACCACGACTGGGCACTGGCGAAGAACGAAAAACAATATTGTGATATCAACAAACAAGATTCGATAAAATAATTTAAAACGAATACTGTGATACGTATCTACCAACATATTGTTGATTCAAAAAAAGTTTATTCGTATCGACAAATAAAAGGCTGTAGATGGTAGGTACATAATATACTACCTACATAATATTACTTATTTTACGCTGGACGAAACACTACGAGCTAATAAAAAGTAAATTTTTGTAATGAGGCGGTCGGCCGAGCTGGAAAGTTTTAATACCAGTGATTCGCTATCGTTCGGTAACTCGTCAATTCGTAGGTAGGTAGGTACCTATATAATATAATAATATGTTACTGTGTGGGTATGAGAAATAAGTTTTCGAACCACCGAGTTGATCATGCGTATGCCGCCGTATAGTTTTGCGGTATGTTGGGAGACAATAATAAATGTATTTAGAGTTCGAGTCTGTTTACGATAATCACAATATTGTTTAAAGATTTGAAAAAAATTATCATCGGAGCTTATTGAAATTGAGTGACATGTCGTTATTGTACGTTGAAGGTACATTGTTTTAACTAATAACCTTTTCGATACTCATTAGGATGATGATACCAAAACGTCGCTGTCGTGCGAGTGTTATTCGTGACCTAAAATTTAACAAACCGTTGTGGTATGGACAAGCAATTTTTTTGATTCATTTAACATTGGTTATTGAATTCACTGGAATATTTTTGTCCAATGTACAATAGTTCTGTAATGACAGATAAGTGTTAGCCGTTAAACACTCAAACTGCATTTGTATTATTACAGTATTGATAAATTAGATAAAACAAACATGTATGTTGCCTTAGGCCTCCATTACGAACACTATAATATAGGTAATAATTGGCTGTAACAATAAGTAACTTTTATTAGTTTATTTTCCTTAGAAAATCCTATAAAAAAATTAATGGTGAGTATATAAGCTACAGAAATAAAAAAAATACCTAATAACTAACTGTTAATTTTTGGTTAGGTTAAAAGCTGTAATATTTTAAGACAAGAAATTTCATAGTTAGGTAACTAAAAATATTTGACTAAAAAGCTTTTAACGTTAAACCTATGTGGTCTTAAAGCCGTTTCACTCTTGTCATTCCCCATTAAGTAGGTAACGGTATTATAGATTAAGAGAAAACTACCTACGTAAAATAAAAATCATTTTATTTTGTTCGAAATGTATTATAAAATATGAACATTAATGGTTTTCGATGTTGTCTTTACGCGTTCCCATACTATAATAACACAGTACATCCATATACGTATCTCAAAGTGTAATGATGATTTAAAACTTTTGATTTCGGATTGAGTGGGAGACTGATAAGTTATTATTGGTCTTACTCTTATACCCTTACTTTAATAATGATATTATTATATGAGCACAACTCTTCCACTTACCGTATTAAACATTTACAAAAGTTAAATTTCCAATTATTTTCGTTTTCAAAATTATAAGTTCGTGGTTGATGCGTGACACGTCCATGACCGTAACATACCGATATCGCTTATTATTATTATTATTATTATTATTATTATTATTATTATTATTATTATTATTATATAAAATAGAGACATAATCCATGTATAATGCATGAAAATTCAATATAATAATATTTGCACAATATATTAAACTATAAGGGGTGTTTACTTAATAACTGGAATATTATTTGAACGGGTTTATAACTGAATCTACGGTTAGGTATAGTACTATAGTAGGTGTATCTGGGAATAACTACAGTAATATAATAATCCAAGTGGATAAAAGGTCGAGTAGGTGCATGCAAACTGCAGCCCTGGACACGAAGAGTGCATAATATTTTAATGCATTGATATAGAATATAAATTTATATACCTAATCTAATCGAGACTCATTTTTTATAGTCGATCGGAGTCTGTAGAGTCAAATTTACTTGATTTGATTTTACCTTCGAATCTAAGTATTTTCGCGAATACCTATACCTATAATATAATGAATGGTTATCATCTAGTTGAAACATTAGTCAGAAACTGATGATCCAATGTTACGAAAAATGTTAACGGTCCACAAGCACCTCTATTCAATAAATTCATTAGATATTATACGTATTAGAACACTGAAAGAATTCCTGATCAATTAGCATCCTTTTTTTTTCGGGATTCACATTATGTTTATGTTATTATTATTATTTTTTTTTTTTTGTCGTAGTGTCCGTTTTCTTTTGTCTCGTTATGTTCTGTGTTGTTATACAATAGAAACATTCACATTGACTAAAACTACACACACGGCTTTTATTACTTTGTTTTTTTTTTGTTTGTGAAATTGCAACGAGAGTGTATACAAAATACAATAGAATTCGGGACTAACACACATTTTAAACAAATCCTGTTGGAGCATAATTCTGTTTATTAATACTCATACAGTCGCGTATGCCACACGAGTGTAATAATTTATAATTGATTAACAACCAACTAAAAACTTACACTATTTCGAAAATATTCCGCTGTTGTTTGTGCATATTTAAATCATTTAACGTACAATTTGATTGATACTTGAGTTTATAAGAATTAATAATTATTTCAATTTATTACTTTTAATCAGCCAAAAGTATAATAATATAATACATTATACATAAAAATTAAATTTGTATATTATGTATGAGTTGACAAAGTTAGTTTATACTAAAACGATATAACAACAAACACTATTCACAGCTTTGGCCAATTTTGTTAGTTATAACTTATACGGTACATGCCAAATGGCAAATGCAGCGTTTAAAATTAAAATTGTTAATGTTGAAGTTATTTAATAAGTTGACAATTACTTGTATTTTAAACAACTATTACAAAAGATTAAAATATTTAAACCAACCCTAAACACCAACTTTCTATAAAGACACTTTCTTTCTGTTAAGCAGCTAAAACGCTTCCAGCATCGGATAATGTATTTAATATATTAACGATGTTTCATTATGCTCTAAACATAGTTTTCATTTTCTGTTCCAAAGTATCATGATTTACTTTTAATCATTTGTACACAAATTGTCCTCAAGTACCGTAGAGATGTCTGATTAAGTAAATATTATGCTCACAACATTATTTTAACAGCTTGATTTTATTTGACTACGCTATTACCGTAATAATAGTTTTAATTTTAATAAATCACTTAGGTACACCTCTACAGTTTAAACGAATTACAAATAAATGTTGAACAAAAATCTAATTTGGTTTAACGATGCTTTGATGTAATTTTCTCTCCGATATCAGTATTAGGAAATGAATACTGCAGGATTCATAAATCCAAAATAAATAGTTTAAAGTAAATGCATTACAAATTATTTAATGTGTAGCATACTAAGCCATATTTAAATACTATAGGAACGTTATGACTTATGTAAGTGATCATCAGACATTTAATTGTACAACTAAATTCTTATTGACTAGTATAATATTAATCATACATTATTATAGTATATTTGAAAATGTATTATGTGTCCAACATCTCACGTGATATCTGCAGAAACAAAATTGTAGATAACTATTTGTCAACTAAGACGTAGGAACCATAAAATAAAGAACATCGATAATTTAAAGGATTTTATTATGTTTTGGTATTATCTAAGATACCCATTTTGTTCTTTATTACAACATGTTAGATAATTATTTTTCAACGAAGACGTAGGTAATATGTACCATAAAATCAAGAACATCGATAATTTAAGGGATATTTTTTGGTGTTTTCAAAGATAATTAATTTGTTCTTTATTACATAGTTTACACTATTATAATTTACACGTTTTTTTATTTTAATATAGGTAATGCATAGTATGAATATTAATTAATATTTAAGACAGTGGTAGAATATTTTTATCTACCTCATAGTTTTACAACAAAAATATATAGGGCGTTCAAATTGTTTTAAAATTCAGTGCCTATTTGTTTTCGTCACAAAATTCCGTAAGTGTAAGCAACATGCAATTTATGGTGCACATTATATAAGCGTTTTCAAAACAGGTCACTTAAATGAGGGTGTACCTATATGTTAAAAAAAATGCATTATTTCATATGCCCTACATACTACTATAATATATGTATATGTTATATGTATGGTACTATGTAGTATGTATGTTATAATACTTAAACTTGAATTATCATTTTAAACTGTACAGAGGTACTTCCACCAAATGCATTCAATTTTTTATAACGATTGAACAATGTATTATGTTTTTAAACAATTGCAATAACAGTAATGACAATACTCATAATAATAATGAGGCCAATCGGATTTAATATTTTCAAACCAAATACAAAGTTTCGGGTTCAAATCACGTACGTCACGTTTATATTATAGGCATGCTTTTCTCCCTCGATACAATGATAAATGATACAAGACCCCCACAGAGTAATAATAATTATAATAATACATCCACCTACGTGTTTTGTATATTATCATTCTCTGTCACAGTTTATACTACATTCTATTCCAAATAGACAAAGCATACCGTTTTAGCCATTATTACTTTTTTAATTTACGCGAGTCAATTGAAACGAAAAATAATAAGCACATAATATTATTTGAAGAGAATGTTTTAATGTACTAATATTATATTATAAGACGTTTTCTATAATAGAAACAAAGACCTCTTGGACCTAACCTAGAACTTAATACGTTTTTGCAAAGATATTTAATTTCGAGTTAATACATCGAAAGAGTCGTCTCGCAAATCTATATATGACCATACGCATAGTATTCATTCCCTCGAAACAGTTGCTAAACATCAAAATATAATAATCAACATAAATAATTATGGAATAACGGGTATAAAAAAAGTATCAAGGCATCGCGAATCTTACAAAATATCGTTAGGCGGTAAACTGCGAGTTCTGTTCAGAAATAGTGCCCATAATACACGAGACAGTTCGACGTGAGATGAAATCTCTCAATACACATGGGTACAGTTTTCGTGAGAGAAAAAAGCGTCCGTAAGTCTATTAGATACCTACCTCGTACTAAGGTCGAGGAGGTTCCCTAACTTTTTTGATTCACGCCTCGCAGAAAATAGAACGTTTTCAGAGACCCCCCAGCGAAAAGTCTTACGTGATAATGTAAAACGAAAAAGGTTAAAAATGTTTAACTTAATTAAATGGTTGTTTTGTATATTATATTTTGTGTGACGTGTATGACAAACGGCGATAAGTTATTTAATTATTTTGTAAATTACATAAAAAAAAAAATCGACTGCAACGTTTTTGCCGAGAACACGTCATATAATAATAAGTAGGTAGCTATTGTTATCCATGTATACTCACAAGTTTCGAAATCGGAAAGCCGCATTGTATATAGGTTTTTTCCACACTCGCGTTTTATCAAATCAATTTATAAGAAAAGCAAATCGCGCAGTCTGCTGCTGCTGTTGCTGCTGCTGCTGCTGCAGTAGTCGGCACGTGAAATTATAGCTGTCTGGCGCTATCGTTACGGTGCACTGCGGTATCCGTACAATAATAGTATTATATAGTTTCGAACAAAAGTTCAAATCTCGTTGAACAATAACTCCTCCATCGGAAACTCGCGGAACCGTTTTCTACGACGGGCGAACGACGTGCCACGGAACGGACGAAAAATAAATAAAAAAAAACACCTTTTGCCAGCGAGATGACGATGATAATATTACTGTTGCGGAGATCGCGAGACGATGGACACTCTCTGGTCACCGGTGGACCGCACTCGAGCTCGACCGGTGCGTACGTTACGACTGCAGAGGGCGGCTGTCGAAAACTCGGCGAACGCGAGCACATGGTCTCGGGGCTGTACGTCGCGCGCTCGGGCATGCGCCCCACGAGACCCCTCAGCTGTGGGGTCGGCACGAATATTATTATCCGACCATAAACGCGAATAGTATATTATTATTATTATGATATTATACTTAACGTGCAGTCTTATAATACGCGGGTACGTGCGAATATAATATTTTGCTCGTCCTTATAGAATTGATACTATAATAATATATCCTGTATAGAGATTGTTATATATATATATATTAAATATACGACAGTAAGTACCGGTGGAGTGTTTACGATGCGCTGGAGGACAAAAGAGGGGGGGGAGAAAGATCATTTCGTTTTTTTTGTTCCAGTGTTTCCGCCTCGGATTCGGCCAATCATTCTAGGCTCGGATATTTTTTGAACTCTTTGGGCTTCTCGTAAAAAAAAAATACAACATCTTAATAATACAATACACTCGCATCGTACAACGATGTAAATTTAAAATACAAAAACGTGGCTTACACTCATTACCTATTCAAATAGGGAAGTTTTTTTTTTATATTCAAATACACTTAAACTATTAGTGCGTAGTTAGATAAACCGATGATCATAAATAAACTGAATTCGATCAGAGACGGATTTCGATATAATATTATACGTCGCTGCCCGCACGACTGGTGCGCTCCCATAGAACAACTACAGACTATAGAAGACGAAAAACTTGAAGGAAAATAATATAACCACTGTCGTGGTAATCGAGTGACGGGCTATATTATGTGATAGGTCATGATAATATATACCTGCGCGTATATTATATGGTTCGGGTGGGCGATCAGTGGTAGGGAAAATCTGCTGCGTAATTGAAAAATTTAAATGCAAAATCTTGGGTTCCCGAGCAGGACGGCGAAATATTATATTATACACTTTCCGAGATGCTTATGAATATTACAATGATGCGTGTATATATATGGAGGCAGGTGATTGTCATTGCCATTTCTTTTTATATTAATTTTATTATAATGAACGAATGTCCCTCCCAGGTGATAAATGTTTGTTTAGAATTACAACAAATTGTGTATACAATCCCCTTTGTTGGCAGATTTGGATGAAGTCCCACTGGAGCGAGAGGCATAACAAAATACACACAGAGAGAGAGAGTGAGACAGAGACAGCAAGACAAGTTAGTCTTAAATGCAATTTAGTGCATCATATACTTTTATTTTAATAAACTATTATTAAATTTGAGTGTCTTGGATTGTTTACTAGAAGTTGTGTGCGTAACGCCGTTCACCACACTATTATTATTAATATTATAAACAAAGTTTTCTTCTGGAAAATAAAACTCGTAGTTTTGTAATTCTATGTAACTACTAAGAACAACAACTTAAAATATTTTCATCGTGTTGATAAACATATAAAGTAAACAAGTTTTAAAATATTCATATACCATATGATTTTATTATTACTTATTAGTTATTAATAAACCTTTTCGGTTTTTAAAAAATATTTTAAGTCGATTAACACCATATGTTAATAGACAAATACCAGTTAGTATGCCAACTTAAAAGTTAAAATATCATCAAATTTCCACTCTCTAACATTAAAAGTAAAAAAAAAATTTAATATATCCGATTTTGAGCTATCTAGTAGTGTTTTTTTCTTTCAATTATATAAATATAATATATATATGTTTGCCGTTTGGTCTCTAAATCATTTCAATAGATAGGTCCTTTAATCATTTCATACCAGTTTTAGCATTATAAGAACATTTTACAGTTATATTCGACAATTCGATTTTATGTTGACTGAAGAGGAGTATTTTATAAATAAGCAGTGGTCAAGATTATCATATAGGATGTCACCGTGTCAGCCTAGCCATACATTAATTACATCATATATAATTTAAAGAAATTATTTGTACAGGCAAAATCATTCTACAAATAGATTATCCCTTATAAATAAAGGGAAGGGGTGAGCTATACCAATAAATTATTGCAGAACAACAAATATAATATTAATAATAATAATAACATAAGTTATTTCCGAGTAGAATAATAAATAAATAAATATTATGCTTGTTGTATGACCCAGAATGGTCAGAATATCGTTATTTTAATATATCAAACACTACCTACTGATAAACCTTAACAATTATCTAATGGTCTTCCTTATGACTTGCGTTTCGTGATATATCACTTAAATGTATGGTACAGAAATGTAAACGCCTTGTTAACTAAGTGTTGGTCCTCGTTTTATAATGATTGAACTTAAATTCTCGGAAGAGGTGTTCAATCTTCTGCTGCTCAAGTCTTAACTTTGAATAAAATTTAATAACCGCTGAAAAAAATAAATGGATAAAATGTTGAATGGACTTTTCAATGATATTTACTGGACTAACTTGGCTAAAGAACTTCGTGTTGATCTGAGAAACGAGTACACAAATGGTGATCATGGTATCATTAGCACTCGAACTCTCCTTAAATGACCTAAAAATAGTAATATTAATATTGTCATCCCTGATCAGCATCTAAATCCTACAAACGTTATCATAAAAATCTACGTATAATCATTCAAATTATCTCGTTACAATGTTATCTTCTTTTAGATCTATAGCCGATACAACACTCCGCGTGTAAAAATGTAAAGTATAAAAAAAAACCTATCTAAAAATTGTGATATCACTTTAAAGCTAAATCTTTGAACTATAGACACCATTTATGTTAAAATAGTCTACTAAATAATTGAACTTAGCTTGGCGACTTCAAAACACTTGATTAGTAATACACTGCCAATTTCAAAGATAGTAGACTATATTATTATGATTATGTAGGTACTGTAACGTCTCCTCTTCACCTATCGCTCGCATCGCCTCGGTGTCGCTCTGTTTATATTAACGAGGTCTCGGAAACTCGACATCGGTGTGTGATATTATAACAAGGGATCAGGGTTATACTTATAAATTATAACTGAGGGTTACCGATCGGGCCATGGTAGTCGACGTATCGTGGGTGCTGATATCCGATGTGGGTTGAGCTGGTCGTCCACGGGTCCTCTTCAGGTCGCTGTCAGCCCTATCGTTGTAGCTTGACTTCCACTATCGACCATCCACTATGACTATTGACTGCCGACCGTAGACTCCTCCATCGACTGTGACTATTGGCTGATGAATGCTGACTCTAGACTTCAGCCTGGTTCCATCGACTACCGACTGCCACTACCGACTATCTCTATTTCCAACTAGGAGTCCCGGTTAACACGATGTGAGCTAAACATCGCGTCAGCATAATATATATTTCATACATATATACACATTTGCCATTACTAAAACTCAGCATATTAGCCGTGCTATGTGCGATGTCGATGACGACATGTTCGTTAAAGTACTCATTATGGTATAGTATTTTTTAATTTTTAACTAAAGTCACAATTCACTTTAGTTGATTGTTTTAACATATATGATATCTACAGTTCAAAGATTTAAGTAAAAAATGGTATCACATCTTTTAGAGCCGTTTTTTCATACTTAGCATTTTTTTTTACACGGAGTTATTCGGAGTGTTTTTGTTAAGATATCACTCATTTTTGGTTGATACCTTATTATTTCGGGAACATATTGGTTTTACAATGATGTATTTTTTTTTTTTTTAATTATCCTATAAAATAAGTTTAAATGTTTATAAATTGCTTCTATTGGTTTCAGATTTTAATAGTAATAGTAGAAATAAGTATATTTTTTTTTTTTGTATATTGGTTGACCCTGGTATCGGATATTGCATTGTAATTGCGGGCCACGAGGAATATTATCTAATATAGTTTTGAAAATACGCTACAATAATTTATTTCTAGTTAAGTTGTCAATAACTCACTTAATATTGTTCAAAATGATTTGAAAAATATGGCATGCACATATAAGTGCATCAATTAGAGCAATTAGATGATAGTATTTTCAAACATTATTACTTTGAACTACAAATTTGTTATGCTTTCTGAAGACATATTTTTTTCATGAATCGTGTAGCTTTCTGTAATTATACCCGGCTAGTTTTCACATGTTGTATTTCCTATGTGTGCATTTTAAGGCACTCTTTTTTTTTTATACTTAGGCCCACCTCGCCATGTCGTTTGACGGTAATATTCTCTGATCATGAGAACCCCTTGACATATATTTGTTCTTCTCTGATCAAATTTACTTATTGTATAACTTTAAATAGATTGTAAACAAAATCAATTTTAAAATAATATTATACTATAATTGTCTTTTTTAAATTATATTATATACCTATTTTATATTGTCAGTTAAAAACGTATTGAGCATACTGTTGACAGCGGTCCCCGAGGCTCTACCTCAATAGCCAACATAATTGCTATATATTTTTATCACATACATATTAATTGTAGCAATTATAGGGTATCTACCTACTTACCATGATAAACGCTCGCCTGATCTCATTATCTGCAAGTCTCTAGCGTTAAATTTAAATATTTTATGTTTAAAACGAGTCAAAAATGAATTTTTTTAATGAAAAATTGCATTTAACGACCAGCTATATTTTGTTGTAACTCGTTTTAAAATTTAAATACATATCAAGTATAAAATTCCACACCGAGACAGAGATAATATTCTGTTCTATAAACTAAATAATAATATGTAAATTTACAGTAATATTTACTGTAACAAAACTGTATTGCTCTATTTATATGGTATAAAATGTATTGTATATGTATATATATATTAATATGCGTCTTCTGTGTGTTACCCACCCCACCGTATAAGAAAAGAAGACAAATGCTAATATGGTGGCATCCTCTTAAATTTACGTCTGTAAATAGTATTTAGTATTTTTTTTTTTTTTCATTTGGCTTGCGGTATTTACTTTAATTACTTTTTTTTTTATCTCATAATCCAATATTTTATTTAATATTTAAAATGTTCTGAAAGAATTGTCAATTCAACTATCAATTTACATCACCACGATAATAATATTAGATGCAACTATTGTAAATATTGTAGAGTAATATCACTGGCTAATTTC